AGGAGCTAATATGTTTTTTTAGTAAATTAAAATACTCTAACTAAATTGTCTTTTAAGATATTTAAGTGTCTATTTTTATTCCATAAATAAAATACCACTTCTTTCTGCAGTACTAATTCAATGTAATTTCCATGAACATATATTTTTATAATATCTGCTACCATGCTCTTAGTCAGATTTAATAAATTACTGATTTCTTGGTACGATATGCCTTTTTCATAAAGATAAATAACAAGCTGAGTTTATCAAAATAACTATTTTTATCTATACGTCCCATTTTCGTCGTTAATCTGCGCGATCTGTATAAATTCTCAAATGAGATTGACTCACTGAAGTAAGCCACATCTTGTATTTACAAAAATAGATTTACAGAATGGTCTAACGATTTTCTACAGAATCATAACCTATAAAGCACTGGCGGTCACCATTAATGTGACCATCATTATCAACATTAATTATCGATGTTAACCGAGAATGGGCGTTCCAAAAAGATATGGCATTCATAATTATACATGTAACTCCAATCTATTTTTGCCTACATTTCGATATGTTCGAGAATAATACTTGCTAATGTGACATATTTTTAGATAACACCCCAAAAATATTCAACATGAAATTGATTGCAATTCCAAGAAATGTGTGTAATTCCTATTAGCAAAATTGTTCAGTCTCTCGACCAAAGAAACAGAAAACAAAATGATTACGCATTAGCCGCTCTAGCAAGAAGAGGTGTACGTCATGTCAGTTGCATGACGGTAGTACGTATGAATTCCTCGATCTCTCGCCGCCCACCCACCCTCTTCCACATAATCGCCACCGCCGCCACCTCCACACATATCTCATCGGAGCACGCTCTAGCTCGCGACCCACGCGCGCCCGCACGGCTCGAGCGCTCGAAGTCGAATGACGCTCACACCCCCACCACCCACGTAAGCGAGCGCGCGGCACGCTCGTCCTCGACCGAACCCCCTGGTGGGAACCGCATCGAGCCAATCCGCGCGGTTTTGTCGTACGCCGCGTCGAATCCTGGTCACGTGATTGGCGGCGCGCTTCAACTTCGTCCTTCCCCGCGAAGCATGCAGTCCGAGGATACAGTCGCACGCCGTCTCTCTTGGTGTTGTCTTCTTTGTCTCTTTTTCGCTCTTTCCGTTACTGTTCTCCTCGTTTCGCTTTGAGTCGGTGGACTTGCTCACCCTCTCTTTTTCCCTTCTCCTTACTATATCTTTCTCTCTCCTTCTCTTTGTCGGTTACTCGGCTCTGTGATGCCTCCGTTCTGCTCTCTCGCGCGCGAGGACACGAGCCCGATCCTCTGCAGGCAAGCCTCGTTGCACCTACCTACCTACCTACCTGCTTGCCTGTCTGCCTGCCTGCTTGCCTGCCTGCCTTCCTACCTACCGCGCTTCTACGAACTCCTGAACCTGCCTCCTTTCCGTTTTCCTGCTGTCTACTCGTCTATAGGATATACTGTACAACTCAGAGTAGGATGCTGCGATCGTGGGTCGCAGAGTATCAGGTCGTGCAAATATCGTAGAAGTAATCACTACCCCGCTACTATATTTTAAATATGCGTATTTTATCAGACTTTAGAGTTGAAGTCCAAGCTATGTCCGCGGCAAAACACTTTAACCATTTTTGCTGTAACCCAGAATATATCCAGCTGATATGCATTTAAAATTGATTAAATGTATTGCTTGAAATATAGTGCTCGGTAGATCGTAATTCAACCTATTCTATTGTACCTGGTATAATCATAGATGCAACAGTCACCAAACAGATATTAAGATAAGCAAAACTCAATTTGCAAACTAAAGAAAAGTACTATTGTTTATATCGATTTCAATCGTCCGTTGCACGACTGTAGAACAAGATAGCATGCAATAATTATTATTACGCGTTTGCCAACAATTAATCGCTGTTATTGCTAGCAGAACTGAAGGTTCTCATGAACCTGATATTTGCACCCAATGCCCAATAAAAGTGTTACTAACTACTCGTTTTCTCGACAACTGATCCGACTCTTGGCAACTTCCCGTGAAACTTAAGCCCCAATTATTCAAAAAAATCACCGCGAGGAACGCTGCGCTACGATATCAAAGTCCATCATAATATTTGCACGATAGCCATCCACGCGCCGTCCAAACAATCGTCAACAAAGTAAGATCCGGCGAGAGATCGATGCAGTCGTATTTCAAGCCGTGCGTACGTGCACGTATGTGCGATGACCGAGATAAATACAGTGCCGTTGCGTTTAATCGGTCGCCAAGTAGAGAGAGATACAGGGAGAAAGAGAGAGGAAGAGGAGAAAGAGAGAGAAAGAGAGAGAAAGAGAGAGAAGGAGAGAAAGAGCAATTTCGAAAGGCACACGGGGAAGGAGTGCGAGGCACGTGCCGGAGCTATGCGCGTGCGTCAGACTCCACACACGGTGGTACTCGGCTATTTTCGAGGAACGTGATATAAGCCCCGATGACGTTCGCGCGACTGGTCGCATAAGCGCGTCCGCGTCGGAATTGCCATTACCAACCCGATCAACCTCGTATGCAAACGCGCCTGGCCGGCCAGCCGGTTCTAATGACCTTTGCAGGCGCGAGACTGATCGCCACTCCGTGAAAACGTTCTGGCCCTATTGTTTCTCGTTTTGAACACGTCGGAGAATTATCTCTCGTGAAAATTTATGCGAACAGCCGCAAGTTAGGATCGTGTCATCTCTGATGAATCAGGACGATTTGATGAATATACCTTTGTTATCAATAATAATAAACATACACATTTATTATCAATAATAAAATACTCATGGTAGGTTGTAAGATTTGTGTGTTATGATAAAATACTTTGACACTAAATTTGGTTATAAAGAGCGGAAAATTTTTTTAAGTAATAGGCCAATAAAATCTAAAGCACGGATATTATTGTGTTATAATAATTCTAGATTAAAAATATGTCATTTATTCATAATAGACGTTTCGGTCCTATTTACACCAGTTTTCCTTCTCAATAGCATAAATACAAAAATACAAATGTCAATCACTTAGATTAGAAAAAAAATCGAAATGAGAAAATTGGGAAACAGGTTAATTGATTAAAATAAAAAAAAAACTTAAAATGTGTTGAACAAATCACGTTAATGGTACAATTAAGATGCAATGTCACTAGTATAGTTACTATAGTAGTACAGTATAGCAGTTAATGTTATCAAAAGTTATCAAATTGATTTGATATTGATTTGATGTTTTTATGTATATATATATATATATATATATATATATATATATATATATACATATATATATATATATATATATATATAAAGCTCTTTATATATATATATATATATATATATATATATATATATATATATATATATATATATACACAGGATGCTTTTAAACGTAACAGATCAAATATCTCGAAAACTAAATTATATTGAGATCCGTTCTTTTTAGGTTGTATTATATCTTGAATTATATCTTGTTTTATCTAACACAGTTTGATAAAACAAAATTAGATTTTGGATGGAGACGCTAAGATAAAATGAAGACCAAAGTGTTTTTTTTTATGGAACTTTTTTTAACTCTATTGTTTTGAACACCTACGTTTGTAGCTCTTGTCACGATGAATACAATAATCACATATCCAAGATGATTAGAGGTCAAATAACGGAAAAAATTACTCGGAAATTTTATTAATACAGCTTAATAAACTGTTTCTCCTGTTCATACTGGTATAAGATCTATTGGTAAAATTTTATCATGATTTTCTTGCGTTAATAGGATGCGTACATCCTATTCCTTTTAATTATTACATTCTCAACTTCTTTTTTATATTCTCTAATTCTTATCCTAAATGCTAATGCTAATTATTTTAACCTCATACATTTTTCTAAAAATATTATCCGTACTTTCTATATATAAATTATTATTTGCAATATCTATTACACATTTCTCTAAACTATTATCACATATATTACACAACCTTATTACTCCAGTCTTATACAGTTAATATGAAGTAGGAGCTCCCGTAAAGAGTCCGGCTGTGCTACCTTACTCTACTCGGGTATACAGACATTTATTCCATTCTCTAGTGAGCTGCCACTGATAAGGAACCGGACAATGGAAAAATCCAGCAGCATCTGCGAGACGTACTACGCAGAATGAGCAGTTTAGTCATTACTTGTGCACCGCAATGAAGTACACGTATCATGTCCATGGAGAACCACGAGGAAATCTATTCACTCGCGTAAATACACACTCTGATCCTACTGTAGAAAGAAATGCGATTTTGGATTTTCTAAGTGGAAAAGAAGTTATTCATGAATGTTGCATTCCCGTATCCAATGAATTATGGAAAATTATCACAATCAGGTTTTATAAGAATGTCTATAATTTTTCAAAATTCGATAATCAAAATAATCATTGTGTATAGGCACCAAAAGTTTCCCTCTGGGAAACTCCAGTCGTATAGAATCTTATCTTACTCACACATCTCCCTTTCCATAATTTTCTCAAAACTTTTCCTTTTAATCGAAGTAACTGATGTCATCCCACAACCTATCCTATTCTCATATCTTCACCCCGTACGCCGACACACTTTGTATATTTAAACAAAATCCACTTTTTGCAAAGTCATCCTTACATATTCTTTCCTCTATTCTCCACACTCTATTAATAAAGAGTTTCATTTGTCACAAATCAGGGTGCATCGACAATTATGCGGAATATCTTGGGTTGCTGAAAAAAAAATGATAAACAAAGAGAGTTCGGACAAATCGTATTTCAAATTTCAGCAAAGTCATCCAAGATGACAGACAAAAGAACAGTCGAAAATTCCGTCGGAAATCACCAATGTCAATCTCACTAGAAAACCCAATCGATCGAGTCCGGAAAGGCCCGAAGGGAATTGCGAAGCAAGCCGCCGTTCAGACGGTATGGAGGGGACCGAGACTAGAGTGGGGGCCTTAAAGGCACTCGGGTGCCGTCCGACTGTCAGAATTCGATGGTAGGAGTACCCGGGTTAAAACGTCACGCGCTGCTTCTCCCACCTTTCCTCTGTCTCCCTCATCGCTCCCCACCATCGCCGAAAGTGGCGGCACTACTAGTGGGCATTCCATCGAGTGCCACGCTCCGACCGTGCGACAGAACACGTTCGTCGCTCGCCGAGTCAGTCGAGCTCTGACACTACTCCCGAGTGGTCGGACTCTTGCGAGACGTTGAGCAAGAGAGACGTGTAAGACACACCGGCGTGTGGACTGCCTCTCTCTTTTTCTCTACACAACCTGCGATTTCACGTTGTCGTGATTCCTTGGATTATCACGATCACGCGTCGATCGACAGTGTGAAATGAGGCTTTGATACACCAGCACAATAGACTATTGGATTATCAGTGAAGTGATACACCGATCGATACCGCCAGTGTTTGTACATTAAACTATTACTTGGCTTACGAGTCTGTGATACAGAAAATAAGATCAAGAATGGTGACCGGAGTGGGTACCACGATGCCGACGGGCGGTGTCACCGTCGGCGCTACGCCACCCGCGCAACACGTGCCTCAGGAAGCTGGTCAGCCGCCAGCGCAGACTACCCCAACCGTGACAACTACGCGACGATCTAGCGAAAACCGACGGGTTAGTCTCCTATTGAGCAACTCGTTATCGAAAAATATTCTCAGCCGATCTTTCATTTGTATTTTCTATATTTCGGACCGATAATGTAACCGATCAACTGTTTTTTCTCATAAATGAAGAGTTGTGATCATTGTGATCACTACTAAGACGTTATGTCGAGATGAAATCAAATCGACGTTCGCCAATATTTTGTCTGACGGAATTATCGATTTTTGCACTTGGTGGACGAGACTTCATTATAGAAATATATAAGTTACATTGATAATTTTGGAATTCAAGTTGGATCAAACAGAATTACTAGTTCTCAAAATCTCTTCGAATTCCGACTATTGTATAATAGTTGCGAAACTTTCCTGCCATTCTTACTCAACGGCAAAAATTTTTTTCTTTACAGAGCAATAAACCTATCATGGAGAAGAGACGTCGCGCCCGTATCAACAACTCTTTAAATGATCTAAAGACCCTTATATTGGACGCCATGAAAAAAGACGTAAGTATCTCGACATCGTTCTTTTCGTATTGTTCTCTTCTCATATAAACTCATATAAACTTCTTATATGACAATAATCTCTTGATAACAGTTGATTTTGTGCTATAATAAAAATTTTTTATTTCAATTTTCGAAAATTTTTTTTCTATTTTCGATCTTGTAGATCGGCACGTCGCCGTGTTAGTTGACCGGTCGTTTGATCGTCAATTTTTTTTCTATTACAGCCGTCAAGGCACTCAAAACTCGAAAAGGCTGACATTTTGGAAATGGCCGTGAAACATATGGAGAATCTGCAACGGCAGTCCGTCGCTCTGACTGCATCGGCGGATCCGTCTATCGTGAACAAATTCCGCGCCGGTTTCACCGAGTGCGCCAGCGAGGTTGGCAAGTTTCCTGGTCTGGACGCCTCGGTGCGACGACGTCTGCTAGCTCACCTGGCCTCGTGCATAGGTCCGGTCGATGCCAACAGCAATAACGGCCAAGTGACGACACAACAGCCTGTCCAACCTGCGCCGCCGACGACGCAGTTGCAAGTACACATTTTGCCGCAAGTCGACGCGACTCCGCGGATCCAAGTGCAACAGTCGAACGGCATATTCTTCACCAATGCCAACGGCACCGGTCTGCAGTTGCTGCCGACCAGATTGGCGAACGGTGACATCGCCTTGGTGCTTCCGGCGGGCGCGAAAGCGACACCGGTTACGTCACCGTCGTCGTCACCAACGCCAACCTCACCGTTACCAACTTTAATCCCCATCCCCCAAAGAACGGCCAGCACAGCGTCATCGTCCTCCTCCTCGTCCTCCGCCAGCTCGACGTCCACTTCGGCGGCGAGCCCGGTGACGTTCGAGGCGTCGCCGGTGTCTTTCCGGGATCAATCCACCGGCTATAGCTCGAGCAACAGTCACAGGGACGTCGCGACGTCCCCGGCGAACGGCTATACCAGTGATCCAGAATTCGATCCGCGCATCTGCAGTCCGCCCCTTCAGAAACCCCTCGCTCTGGTGATGAGAAAGAGCGTGGTGCAGCCAGTGGAGGGAAAACCGTGGAGGCCGTGGTAAAAGGAAGACCCGATGAAAACTGTTAATTGTGTCGTGCATGAAGTGATACCTAACAAGCTTGTGTCGACGGCGATCCGCGGCCGATCGACCGCGGCCGAGAACTCGCTCGCCGTTTCAACGCCGATTTACGTCGTCACGTAAACGGAACTCCGCGGAACGGAAACATGTTCCTCAATAATGTAGATCATTGTAGACGCGGTCCCGTTCGCGAAAGAGAGATCGTGACGCCGCTAAGTTAGACGATCGTTAGAGAAGACGTGAATTATTCCCCCCTTCCTCTCATCCCTTCGAGAGTCCGCGTACAGTCGGCCAGTAGCCAATTGGTGGCAGTGCCTTATTACTAGTGCCTTGTAAATATGTGTTACGATTCTTTCTCAGCGTGTCGAACACAGATGGTTCCTTCGTATCACAAGATTTTGCGTTGATCCGTCTTTCTCTTTTTTTTTTTTCTTGACCTATCGCCGCGTTCACCCGTCCTTTTCATATTTCGTTGATCATTTGTTGTATATAAATTATACGAATATTATATTTTAAGTGCCTTACGCAACAAGAATCACCGAGGTCTTCCATTCTGTTTCTTGTACGTAAAACTCTAGCCGAGTTGTATGTCGTTGTAAGCGCGAAGAATGTCCGTAATCGATATGTGACTTAGATTTTAGGATTAAGATGACTTGTGCGGAATGCGAGTCCGTGCAACAGTGCATACGTGTATGTAAGGTGCGAATGTGTATACAACGCGTTATTTATATTTATACGAGTGCAAAAAGATTAAATTTATAAGTCGTCTAGAAAAAGCGCATAATCTGCGCGAGAGCATCAAATAAACGTGTTGATCTCTTTATCAAAACCGAGACTTTCGTTAATTTCATCAATCCACCCACCAGTTCCTCATATTCATAATCATATAGCTCCGCTTACTTATTAACTTTTATTTATACTTGCTCGATCTATACAGCCGGGTATATTCACGGAGCGGTCATTTTTCGAGTGATAAGCTTAAGGAAGTATATTGTACGCATGTTGCATAAAAATTCAGTTACTCTTCGATAGAAAGATCGATAAATCCTCCTCAGAGTATCGAAATTATTCGATATCTGAAAACGTTAGCATCATGTCAGACACATCCAACACCCTGCACGGCTAGGACGAGACTGATCGTCGACGGCGAGAGTTCTCCGTGCACGTACCGCCACCTAGCGGCGGGACCCGACGTTACAGACGTAATAGCACGAACCGGTCTGACGCTCGAGAGCAGGCCCAAAATCTCCCCCTCGTATTTTTCCAGCTTCGAGTACCAAATGCCAGAACCTGCTGCCTTCTGGTGAGTTTTGCAGGAACACCGTAGGACCTTTACAGGTCCTTAAAGGATCTGGATCCTTGCCTCGTTCGATAACAGAGATTGCTTATATTGGCGAACACGATTTGTATCTCCGTGGCCAACGCGGCGAGTCTCGGAATTTCGTTTTCTCTTCGGCAAAAGTTTACGAGTCGCGAAAAAGTGACTATAATTTCAGTCAATAATTATACAAGAAATAATTATCGGTATTTATAAGAGTCCTGAGGCGATCGATTAATTAGATTGCCGTCTCGAAAAATGAAATCGGAATGCGGATTATCAGGCGCCACCGAATCTAATCTTCGAACCGGACTCACAGCAGCTAGATCGAGACAGTTGATTATTACGTTCGACTTTCCCTCGCAACCGGGTGTTAGTAATTTTCCAACAAGGATTAAACCGGGCAGCTAAAACTAGATAAAGCTACCTGCGAATACAAGTAGTCACGGTGTATATTTAAATATTTCACCGGAGGCTCGAGCGCATTTCTCTTGTTCGGTCATAAACGTTATGACGTTGTTTCCAGCTGTATCAGAAGCCTACTCTATTCCCAAGTAAATATACCTTTAATAAATATATCTGTAACTCTTAATTATTAATTTAAATTGCTCCAAATAAAAAGAGCGGTGCTTTGGTCGGAAATGGTATTTTGAATATCTGAAAAATCTTTTTCATAATAATAATAATAATAATTTTAAATATATTAATATTAGTAATTTTTAATAAATACGAAAAACTTTTTAGTATACCTTAGTGAAAATGGCCATGAAAAAAATCAATGAAAAAAATATTCACAGCTATACTTAATCTAGAAACGCAAGAATTAAAACGATATATAATACAATAATGTTCAACACGAAAAATGAAGCACTACCTCAATTTTTTTGTAGGAATATTAGTAAGTTTAAAAAATTAAACACATATTTGTTTTTTTAAATTTATATTTTCGATGCACCGTATGTTGGTTCTCGCATTCAATTCGCAACGAAATCGCAAACGTAGAAACGGAATAATGCGTGTGTGAACTTCAGTAGAAGCCGAAGTTTAAAGGATCTTCGAGCATTAAGAGAGAGTACGCATGTACGCAAACACACACACTGGCGGATGATCTTCGCGAAAACCGCGAAGGCATGAATTATCATAATGTCCTGCTCCGCGGGCAATAGCATTCCCGGTACGGTAATCTGCAAGGCACAGGCGAAGTACTGAACCATGATGCCGCACGCAAAACACGTCGAATGACAAATTGCATACTACTCTTCTTTCTTTGGTGATTTTCTTCCTGTATAATTCGCCCCCTTCGTAAATGCGCAAAGGGATACCTTTACTGTCATAAAGCCGTTTTCATAATTTGTCGGCGCGTTCTATTGCGATATTTCGCTCTCCATCAATCGCGAATTGTGGTTTGGCACTTGCGCCAAAACTTATCTAACTAACAGTTCTACGTCAGTTATCTATGGTTACGTAAACATTCCGACAAACAGGCGGTCTTCTCGCGAAGATATCGCCTGCGTCTACCCTCTCAAATAGAAAGAAGAATCGGATCCCCACGACGGCGCGCACAATTTTCGTGATGGTGATTAACGTCAGCCGACTTGCCGCGCACGTTTCAGCGTCCTAATCGCATTCCTGCGCTCTCTTCTACGTTTTCGTCGCCTGCGGGCAACAATGCGAGTCTAATGATCGTTAGAGTGACAATTGCCAAGGAAATGAGAGAGGGGAGGCAGAGAGATTATAGGGTGATTTAATTACATCACGCTCAGCTGACGAGACAAGCAAGCTTTATCAGCGACTAATTCCGTGCATTATGCTTGATTTGGGGCAGACGCCGCATTCTTCCGTGGCGGAGACCCGGTTTCTTTTCGGCGAAAGAATTATCATAATGTGCTCATTAATCTAACGATGAGAGGAGGGAACGACGAAAATCGCGCGAGCTAGATAGTTCGCGTAGCTCTCGGGGAATTTCTTGCCGACCCCGGCTGAGAACTCGCATCAGACGTTATCTCCGCATTAGGAAATTCCCGAGCGTTCGCTCATCAGCATTTAACGGACGTCACGCGCTAGCCGTGCACGTTGATACTATGACGAACGATCAAGTCGGCACGAAGGCCTCGGCTGGCGTAGAATAATTATGACGATAATTCGCTCAACGTGATCGCAAAGGTTAATTACCGAGCGTAAGAAAATAGAGAAGTTGCGGCGCCGAGTTTTTTGCCGCCAGCCTCTTCTATCACGAATCGTGTTTCCTCTTCTTTCATAACTTCAACGCAGTATCGCTTCTCTTAAAAAATTATGCGTACGAGTCGCGAAATATCAAAACAGATTAGAATGACGACTATAGGTTTGTTTCTTATCGCTAGTGTACATTTACTTAAAAAAAAACAAATACAGTTAAGATTTGGTGAAAAAATACAAGCTATAGTGTAGCTAGTTTAGCAATAGAAAACAAATTTCATGAGAGAGAGAGAAAGAGAGAGAGAAAGAGAGATAACGAACTTCCTATCAACAATACTTTAATGAGTTCACTTGAATATATTTTCTAATCAACGAAAATGTTTCAATTTGTAACAGCAAATTATGAAAGAATCATTTTTTATTCTAATTATTTATTATTTATTTATTTACTCTAATTATTAAATTAATTAATTAATTACATTTATAAGATTATGTCTATAACTTACTGTGTTAAATTTATAATAAGTTAATTACTATTAATTTAATATTGTTAACTTGTTCAGGCAACAATATTAGTAATAATTAATAAAATAATATAAATTAATATAAACTGATATAAATTAATAAATACACAAAAAACCAATAGTAGATTTTGAATTTTTCTGGAACATATATGACCGTACAGTAGCGAAAAGGTTAATCCCTTTTTCGAGCTTATGTTATATTGAGATTATGGTTGAGGTCCAATGTAGATTTTTTTCAAAGAAGAACAGACTCGCTGAAGAACTCATGAAACATACATAATTCGATTGCTTGACTCAGTTGCTTCTAAATAAAACACACGACACGAAAGATCTCCAATTCTACCGGCTCCGACTATAGTCGTGTATTTTCCGTAAAAGTTACAGCTGCACGTGCTCGCGCCTTCGGTCATATCCCGAAACCCGACTCCATCCGGTTAGTAAAAGACGCGAGTTCGAATTTTTCCCAAGGCGGACCTCTAGGAATCCCCCAGTCACTCGCCAATCAGCTGATTCCTAGAAGCTAGCGAACACACGTTTAATAACCTGCCGTTCTGTCTTGGCTCGTCGTACGGTCGCGTGGTTTCAAGGACCCGGCAAGGTTGACACGCGCCGCCACTCACGGGAGACTAGTGAGGGGTCTTGAGTCTGGTCTCGCTCGCACTGTCGATGTCGATCTTCGTTTCACGCGAGCATCGCGACATCGTCTCGTGATACTGCCAGACTTTACGCAAACTTTACGTGTAGTACGATGCCAGACTTTCGACCATCGCCTCGGTCTTGGACAAGGTTGTATCCAGCGAAATCAGCAGAAATGCCACACATCAATCGAGCATTTTCAGTGTGTATATACGCGACGTCGCCAAACTATACAACGACAGTTAAAGCGAAACTACCCGGAGAAAATATTAAATATGTAAAATTACAACTTGTATGTTTTTTATATCGCATATTCGATTAATATTCGATAAATTCTTAAATTTACCATTTCTATAGTAACAATCTAGCTTTGCAAGAAACAAATATAAAATAAAATATAATTATAATGTTATAATTATTTTCTATAAGGACTTATATAATTATATTTTATAAAAAAAAATAATAAAGAAATATATATAGAAAGGAATTTGTGTATCGCAACAAAAATCGCAACGGATAGTTTACACATACGGTACTTTCTCCGACCTTCCTTGGAGACATCCAGGCAGACGTTAAGTCAATTAAAATATATAGCTGAAAGCTAGCTATAGAGCGACGAAAGGCAACATCATACGGTCGTTTGCCTGCGGTCTCACGTTCGACGGTCCCGAACTTTTTCCACAGTGTCTAGATGCTATGTCCTGCGAGGCGGCGTTGCGAAAGCATAGCCTTGTATAATGAGACCCTTTCGCGGCAAGGGAAAAAGAACTGCGGCATTTTCGAGCGTCCCACGTGGCAGAGAACGCGCGGCACGACCATCACGGTTTCTTCTACGTCGCGCTAGAATCGCGTGACGGTAAATCACGCCGTAACAACCGTTTTTTGACCAATCGAAATATCTTCGGCGCTTCATTTCCGCTTGAGAGTTAGTGCGCAATCTTTGGTTCACCGAAAATTTCTCAGGGACGCGACAAAAACTTGACGCTGGAGAAAATTCTATAATAACGGTGCCGACTGACGTGCGTCTAGTCCGCGTCAGCGCATTGTCGTTTCCTCATAAATGGTCTTGTATTTCGAGAACATTTATACGACACGGCTAGACGCTGAATAATCAACGACTACTTCGACTCGAACTTCCAGGACTTGGTAAACCAGACGTTGTTTACGCACGTTGGA